AGCCGCTTCTAAGGTCCTCTTCCGTATCTTCGGCATCACATTCTAGTAGGAAATCGGCCACCGCTTGCCCTTTAATAGCTGTTCTCGGCTCGTACGTTATGTCAAATGAACTCAACTCTATGGCCCACTTTGTCATTCTGCCCGAGAGCTCTGGCTTGTGCATGAGCGTTCTGATTGGGAAAGTTGTTAGAACAGCTATGGGGTGGGATTCAAAATAATGCCTTAACTTTCTTTTTGCATTTACAAGTGCAAGTACCACTCGTTCGGCCTTTGAGTATCTTTTTTCTGCCTCCATCAGTGTTTTGCTTACATAAAATACCGGGTATTGCACCCCTTCCTTGCAACGAATCAGAACGGCACTCGTCGCGACACCAGATACTCCAAGATATAGAAATAACTTTTCTTCCGGTTCTGGGGCTGACAGGACTGGTGGATTCTGCATATATTGCTTCAAATGAGTCAATGCCTGTCGTTGCTCATCCCCCCAGACCTGCCTTCCATGGCTCCGAATCGTGTCAAAGAATGGTTTGCAGTGGTCTGACAACTTTGAAATAAATCGACTTAATGCAGCTATTCGTCCTGTTAGGGCTTGCACCTCTCTGATCGTCTTTGGCTCGGCATTCTTAATCAAAGCCTCTGCTTGAGCGGGGCTAACTTCGATGCCCCTGCGGTTGACCACGTGTCCCAGAAACTGCCCGGAACTCACACCGAACGAGCACTTGGTCGGATTGAGCCTCATCCCATATCGCTTTAGTACATCAAATACCTCTTGCAGATGCTTCAGATGATCATCCTTTTTCCTACTCTTTACCACCATATCATCAATATAGGCTTCGACAGTCTTACCCATTTGATTCTTAAAAACTTTGTTGACAAGTCGTTGATAAGTTGCTCCCGCATTCTTTAATCCAAAAGGCATAACTTTGTAGCAGTATGTTCCTCGCTCGGTGACAAAAGAAGTTTTTTCTTCATCTGCGGGGTCCATAGGAATCTGATTATAACCTGAATATGCGTCCAGAAAGGTTAAACGCTCATACCCCGTGGTGGCATCCACCATTTGATCAATCTTAGGCAACGGGAAGCTGTCCTTCGGACAGGCTTTGTTTAAATTGGTGAAATCAATGCATACGCGCCATTTCCCATTTTTCTTCTGCACCACAACGACGTTGGACAACCACTCAGGGTAGTGCACCTCTCTGATAAATCCCGCATCAAGCAGCCTATCAACTTCTTCCGTTATGATCTGATTACGTTCTGGAGCAAATCTTCGCTGCTTCTGTTTCACTGGTTTGAAATTAGGATTGACATTCAGGGAATGACAGGAGACGGAAGGACTAATTCCAGGCATGTCGAGGTGACTCCATGCAAATACGTCGACATTGTGGGACAAGAAATCCACTAGCTCTTGCTGCTCTTCTCTGGTCAGTCTTATACCCACTCTGGTAGTTCGTTCTGGCCTGGACTGATCGATCTGCACATCCAGAAGGGGCTCCTCGGTCAAGTCGGCTGACTCCTCCACCCTATTCTGCTCGAGTGGAGGTTCCTGTAATTGCTATCTGGGGCTTGTCGACCGGACGGGCGCCTTTCCTTTCCCTGCATGCTTTAGTGTGACGGAATAACACTCTTTGGCTGCGACCTGATCCCCCCGAATGTCTATCACTTTATCTCCATCGGGCCCGAGGCACCTCATGACCTGATGCAGAGTTGAGGGTACACCTCGGACTCTGTGAATCCATCCTCTTCCCATCAGGAGATTATACGAGGGGTGAATTTCCACAACCACAAAAGTTTCCATAAGAGCTCGCTCTGCAGCTTGAACTTCTACTTCCACCATCCCGACGGGCTCCACCCTCTTCCCATCGAACCCTAATAAGGGATTTCCGGTGGGCTTGAGCCTCTCTGGTTTAATGTCGAGCCTGTCAAATGTGTCCCTCGGCATAACATTCGCACTGCTCCCAGGATCGATCAGAACTCTGCGCACCAAGCAATCTGCCACTGTCAAACTGACTACCAACGGGTCGTCATGAGGCAGTTGAACACGCTGCAGGTCTGTCCAGTCGAACTTTATCTGCATTGACGGGCTCTGTTGGTGTAGAGTGGTCACATTGCCGACCCTTTTCTTCATCTGCGCCTGCCGCAGGCGCACCCGTAGCAGCTCATCTGACTCTTCACTAGGCTCGGGTCGACCATGGATAGCATTGATTATACGAACTGGTTGCGAATTGTGGGAGCTTTGTTTATGACTCCTTTTTATTTGTTCCACTGGTCGATTCTGCTCCATCGCCGAGCCTTGAACATAACTCGCAAACTCCCCTCTAGCTATCAACATCTCCACTTGCCTCCTCAGGTTCCTGCATTCGTTAGTCTGATGTCCGAAATCAGAATGAAAAGCACAATGCTTAGTTTGATCCCTCTGTTCGAGGGGTTGTCTAATTGGCAGTGGTGGATGAAACTTGTCCTTGTTCTCCTGATACAACCTCGCCAGAGTGACCTTCAGCGGAGTAATCAACTCTTCCTCCCTGGACCTTTTTTCGGCCTTCCAAGTGGTCTGACGTTGCGGCTGAGCCTGCTTCTGCCTGATCTTTGCCTTGGACTTTTCCTCGGTCGACACAAGCGACGTTGTCCGAGCATTAGCTGCCTCCTCTTCTTCGAGGCGCACAAAGCCATCGGCTCTCTCATTGAGTTCATCCATGGTAGCTGGCGTATTCACTACCAGACTGGTGTGAAACGGAGTTCCGCGTGTCATGGCTAACTTGAAGGCTTGAACTGCCGTAGAAGGATGGCATTCGATTACCATACTCTTAGTGAGATTAAACCTGGTAAGAAAGGCCTGGAGCCGTTCATCCTTGTGTTGCCGCATCGTGAACAGGCTCGAGATGTCCTTCGGCGGGCGTTTGTTCCCATAGTACTGGCTTATGAACCGATCGCACAGGTCCCTGAAACTGCCAATGGAGCTCCTAGGCAAGTTTTTGAACCAGCTGAGCACCGGTCCGGCCAGGCTTGTAGGGAAGCATTTGCACATTAAAGAGTCGTTTTCCGTATTCAGGGCCATTTTCAACTGGATATGATACACATGATCGATCGGATCGGTTGTTCCGTCAAACAGAATAAAGACTGGCATAGCAAACTTCCTTGGATGCGGCGCACTCAAGATCTCGTCGGTGAATGGTGAATCCACCGTCCGAGCTGCGGATCGGAGAGCTTCATTCTCTCTCTGGAGTCCAGCGGTAGCTCTGTGAGTTACGGTTCTGCCCTCCGAACCGTGATGAGTGACAGTAACCATGGAGGGCCGGTAAGACGGATCGAACGACCGTTCCTCTATGAACTCTCTCTGCCAAGGCGACGCTACTCGACGGCGATCTACCTCCATCACTTCCTCTCGGTCAAACCTTTCCCGCTGCGGATCAACGTGAGTCGAGCCTTCGTGATCTTCAACTCGACGAACATTTGGCGGCGAATTGTCCATCATCCTTTCATCACGGTGGTGAGCTGACTGATTGTTCTCGTTCTGATCGCCTTGATGCGCGATACTAGATGGAACACCTCCTTCTCCGACCGGAAGCGGATGCGAAACTGCGGGTATTTGCCGATGCTGCAATCCAGCTTTCAATTCTGCATTTTCTTTTCTGAGAGCTTCAATCAAGTTCATCAACTCTTCAAGCTTTGTTTGCTGGACAGCCTCCATCGGATTGGAGCTTTCACCTATCATTATTCCCGAACGGAGTAAAGGCATTAATCTCAAGTTCGCGAGTAGATCTGAGCTTCGTGAGTAGGAATTTTTAGATCTGGCTTCTAATTCTCCGAATTATGCTCACTGTTTACAAGATCTGAATTGTCTGAACTCTAAATCCGTCAGATCCTGCCACAATCGAGCAACTCGTGGTTGCGTAGATCTGAAGTCACTCCTGCCAAAGCTTCAAGAATCGTAATTCCTCCAGAGTAGGTCACAATCGCTCAGATCTGGATTCAAATCCGCAAGATCGAGTCTCGATCAACCGAATTGGTTTGAATCCATTCGATACTCCTCATTGATCAACCAAACTTTCATGCGTTTCCCACAGACGGCGCCAATTGAAGATGCAAGAAACTCTTTCTATTCTTTCTCTCTCTAGAATTCTTACACCTCAACCCGAATAAAGATCCCTCTCCTCTTCATTCCTACTCCTATTTATAGATACTTACCAGATATTTACAAGATATTTACAAGATATTTACTAATTGCTGGACCTGGGCCTATTCCTCTGTAAGCCCTGGTCACCCTTGATGGGCTTACTCCCGCTCGGCCCATATGGCAGTATCTTTCTATGGGCTGACCCAGCTGTTCGGACTGAAGGTTGTGTTTTGCGAGTCGGACCTGGCCCATGTCATCCAGGGCCTCCTCACACACACACACCTCATTATATATATATAATTACTAATCCCCTTGGGTCACTATTCAACCCATTTAGGATCCCACTCAAATAGTCTAATTCTCATCTAGTTGGTCCATGGTCTATAACCCAAATCCTTAAGATAAAAATAAAATAAACAAATCATTTAACTAATACAATTAAACATTTAAAAACAATTCAATCACCCAAACACATCACATGGAAGCAAATAAAAATGCACATACAATTAGCCAACATAAATTAATTTAGTTAACTCAATTAAAACATTTAAATAAAACAATTAATCAATTAAACACACAATTAAATATAAAAGCACATAAACAAATAGCCAAATAATTAAATTAAAATATAATTAAAATAATTAAATAAATTACAGAAATTTAGGGGTATTACACACCATAGCAACAATTCAAAGAACATTCTTCCAGGCTAGAAGGTTTGAATTGTGAGGTTCGGTAATCCGGACATCTTTACCTGATCTTCCCATTTCCTTGAGTTCTTCCAAGTTCCTATTTATTGTCTGGGATTTTCAGAACCCAGAGCGCCTGAAAGCGAAAATGATTGAAATACAGTTCCAGAAAATGGAAAGATTGTGTCCGCGCTTCTTACTCATGGAATTATTCCACATTTCCACCATTTTGATTGAGATGTCCTCAATTGCTTGGATACTGGATGACCCTTGAAGAAATCTGAGACTGCAGTCTCTAGATCCTCAACCGAGTACTTGATGTATTTCTCGAATTGTTTTCCATACCTTTCATGCAATTGATCCATAAATGATCTGTAAATCGGAATCAACTTCTTCAATATGGACAGATGAAGCTCCTCCCGCAGCTGCAAATCCAAAACCAACCATTTCGCTTGTGTCTCATGGGCTCTTTCAAACATGGCATGGAATATCAGTAGACTATGCCTCACTGTATACTCTGTAAAATATGTGCTAATCCACTCCACTTGTATCGCCTTATATTCCATTGGGTACAAGCCCCTCCACCCCGCTTGTAGTGCCTTAAACTCCAATGGGTACAACACCCTATCCCAGGTTGATGTCAAATAGTTACTTTCCTCGTGCTGGACTCTTTGTATTATCTTCTCCACAAAATAGTCTCCTATTAGCTCTCGCAATTCTGTGCTCCCTTTGATTTTCTGAATAATGTAGTAAGCATTGTTCATCATGAACAAATGTGCCAGGGAGACATTTTCATAACCCTTGGACTTGCCCTCCAAATTGAATCGTAAAACTACAGTGATCCAAATAAAATGGATTTCCAATGGAGTATTTCTATCAAGTTCCACGGATTCCATATCACTAATCATTGTGTCTCCAGAATAGTGTGAACCTATTGAGGGTTTTGACACAATCAATTCAACTAGAGTTTTCCTGTAAGTAGACGCCATACGAATCATACAATTCATTACGTTTCGGTTAAGGAGTGAATCGTCCCCTGAGGAACTGGGACGTTTAACAGCTCATGAAGCACGGCATTCTCAAATTCTGACAGCATCCTTCTTGCTGCCTCTGCAACTTGAAACAGTGTTTCAGCGCCCTGAATACGGATAGACTCCAATGATTTTGACCTCAAAACAGCATAAATATCAGGCAAAAATTCTGACGGAGTATTGTAGACGTCTAAAATTGGGAACAACTTCTCCGGTGATCGGGAACTAACACTACTCACAACTTGTGCAAAGTTGAGCAACATAATTGCATGGTCTTTAAACATTTCCATAAAACGTGTTTCATCTGAAAAACCTCCAAAGATTTGCTCGCGGAGTTGCTTCTCTCTCACAAAGAGAATTCGGAAACAATTAGCAGCTTCCATCCATTGTCTGATTTTATGCGCCAATCAAAGACTTCCTAACCTTTTGGCGTCACCCGTGCCTACATGCTCAAAGCCAAGTCGTTGAAAACAAGTGTCCATGAAAGACTTCCAATCATTTACATAAACCTGAATGCCCAGATGAAGATATCCAGCAGAGCTCATCATCTCCGCAATAGTCCTGAGATCATGGATGGACTCTTTATTCAGTTGTGGATCGTCTTGTAACTCAGAGACTATAGTACTTAGTGAAGTACTCGAGTAAAGCGAACTTGTACTGGTTAACCAATGGGTTCCAACTGAAATTTTGGGGCTGATTAAAATGACATGAAACTCTTCTGTTAACCGAGCCATGGCAATATCCATGAAGTTATTGGCTCTGCTTTGATCTTCAGAGATGGAGCTCGATGTTGATCGCTGAATCTCATACACGGCTTGCAAGTATTCGTCAATTTCTTGGCGGTCGCCCCCAAAGAGATGTTCTTTTCTTGCCCCTCTTGATTCCCATTGCAAGATTATCTCCACAGCGGATTTGAATGCCCTAGCAGCGATTCCTTGCAGTTCCATTGGAGGTGATGCAGCATCCATGGAATTTGGAGAGCAAGTTGGGTCTTTTAAGACAATATTCAGACCAATTGATTCCCATTGCAAGAGTATATCTACGGCGGATTTGAATGCCCCATCAGGGTTTTCTTGCAGCTCCATTGGAGGCGATGAAGCATCGGCCATGGGAATTGAAAGAACAAGTGGGATTTAAGAAAATATTCAGACTTCGAATAAATTCAGAATCGTGTAGAGCGAGCTACAGAACCTAAAGAGTAGTGTGGACCTTCACAAAACTTTATTGATTGATGCATTTTGTCATATAAATTGGTTGGGGTTGGTTGGAGAGAGAGTCAGATAAAGCAAAGAATAGTCAGTCAACTGTGATTTAATTGATATTATGGTCTAAAATAGAGTAAATTGACAATAAAAATATGTATAACTGACACCAAATAATTGGGATTATTGAAATAGATGTGCATAAAACTATTCTATTGAGTTCCTTTGATGACATTAGAGTGAAATACCTATCATTCCATTACATAAAAAATAAAAGTAAAAGAAAAATATATAAAGAGTTATGCATATTTAGTTGTGTTCCAAGTTGTTCTGGGTTTGATAAATCAAATGTGTAACTACGTAGTTTTGAGAAAAATTGTGGGAAAAAAACAGATACAGAGAATATATAAATATATGTATATATATATTTGGTAATCTTGATACTGTTCTTCTACTAATGTCTACTTTTTTTCGGTGACGACTCATTTTTTTTTAACTGGTGATCATCTCTGCTCTCGGTTACTATTCTTCCACTCTTTGATGTCTTTTTCTATTTTGGTGATTCTGTTTTATTTTTTTGTAAATTTTGGTGATTCTTTTTTTTTTGTAAATTTTGGTGATGCTTCCATTTTCGAATGAGAATTTTGTTGATGCCATGGGTAAGAGGGTTTCATTGAAGCGAATTTGTTGCCAACTGAAAATTGATATTTCATTGTGAATTCTTTCATTTCCTTTTTCTTTTTCAAATCCCAAATTTAGAAAGATTTGGTTTCAAACGGATCAATCAATCATAGCAAGATGCCAAAGGTTCTACATGGTGCAAGAAGTAAAATGCTGTGCACCCGGATGTGCCTGCCGGGATGCCTTGAAATTTATAGGTAAAATTTGTAAAAGATATAACGAAATGAAAATTTTATTTCGTATTTATTAATTAGATTTACCTACGCAATTGTTGAGCTTTTCTGATCTAAAGAATATAATTTGACTAGTGACTCTCCGAAAGTTCATAAACTAGAGGTACTCCTTGGTTCTAACTAGTGTATTTGATGTATTTCTGTCAATTGATCCCACACAGAATGGCCTTTGAAGAAATCCGAAATTGCACTCTCAATATCCTCAACTGAGAACTTGATGTATTTCTGTAAATTCTCTCTATGCATCGCATCCATTCTGTGCCGAATTAACTTGTTATTCTTCGACACATCCATTTTATCCAGCATCAACTTGTAACTTGGAATCAACCTATTCAATATGCTACGGCGAATCGCCTCCCGGAGCCGCAGATCTGGTACCAGCCATTCTGCTTGGGTCTCGTGAGCACGTTCAAACATAGCATAGAAACTCTTGAGCGCCACCATCGAAGTATCCCGCCCAAAAAGAAAACGCCAATCAGCATTCGGTGCAACAAGGTCCAAAGGGAACAAGATCTTGTTCCAAGTTGATATCTGATAATCTTCCATGGCGTGCTGAACTTTTTCTGCTAGCTTCTCTACAAAACTATTTCCCACCATCTCCTGCAATTCTGTGAAATCGTTGATTTTCTGAACAATGTGGTGGATGTTGTTCATCATGAACAAATGACCCAAGGACTCATCTTCATAGTGCTTGGATTTGCCATCCAGTTTGAACTGCAGAACTACAATGATCCAAGACAAACGGAATGCCAACGGTGTTTGGCCTGCAAGTTTCACCAAATCCATATCACCAGAGCATGTCAAACTTGGTGAAGGCATTGGTATGACCAGTTCAATAAGGTTTTGCTTATAATCAGAAATCATTCTGATTATATAATGCATCACGTATTTAGTCAAGGGGTGAGTTGACCCTCCGGGAACTGGAATTTCTGACAGTTCGCGGAGCACATCGTTCTCAAATTTCGTTAGAATCCCTCTTGCTGCCTCTGCAAGTCCGGACACTGTCTCGGTGGCCTGAACTCGAATCTGGAGAAATGATTCCGACCTGAAAATAACATCTCTTATTTCAGGCAAAAGTTGGGAAAGTTCATTGTAGAGGTCTAATACCTTGAACAATTTCTCTGGCGATGGACGAATGACTGCCACGCTCTCTGCAAAGTTGAGGAACACAATTGCATGATCTTTGACCGTTCTCGTAAAACATTCATCATCTTCTCCACCACTTCCAAGACCTTCAAAGATCTGCTTACAGAGTTGCTTCTCCCTCGCAAAGAGAAATTGGACACAAACCTGAGCTGCTTGTATCCATCTCACAATCTTGGCAGCTAAGATTTCCCAATCCAACCTTTTGATTTTGCCAGTACCAAGTTTTTCGAGACCAAGCCGTTGAAAATTTGTATCCATGAAAGACTTCCGAACATCCACGTACACCTGAATGCAGTCGCCAATATAGCCTGCGTAGCTCATTCTCTCCGAAATACTCCGTAGACCAGAGATGGATTCCTTACTCAGTGGTGGATCATCTTTTATGTATTCGGTACTTAATGAAGTCGAATAAGCCAAATAATCAGGAGGATAACTAAGCGAATCCGTTTCAATTGAACAGACGTTGCTGATTAATATGTTCCTGAACTCTTCCTTGAGCCGAGCCACGGCGATTTGCATCATCTTGTTAGCTCTGCTTAGGTTGTCGTCTTTCATGAACCCCATTGATCGTTGAATCTCATCAACGGCTTGCAAGTATTGATCAATTTGATCATGGTCGCACTCAAAGATGGAGTCCCGGATCCTCTCCACGGCAGATTCAAATTCCCTGCTATAGTTTTCTGGCAGTTCCATTTTTGAGAATGAAGCTCAAAATATTTGGAGTAGTTTGTATAAGAAGGATAGTGAGCTTGAATACAAAATTCAAAGGAAACTGACAATAAAGAATGCTAAAAGTAGTTTCGTAGACTTGTTTATCTTAGCGGTAGAGGACACAGAGCTAAGAGCACTTTCTCCATCTAATAATTGTTGGTGTTGAAATTATGACCGTCTCTCTCTTTTTAGAAAGTTCTCACCATCTCTCAATACAAATATTTCTCTTCTTCTCTTTCTTGCTTTCTATGTTGAAGACCAACACAACCGACCCAAGCAATAATTGCCCAAGGATCGAAATGGGTGGTTGGTTGGTAATGGTCCTTAGCCCGTGTTCCAATCCCTTCCGTCAGAGCGAAATGAAGAAAATTCAGTACTACCTGCTGGTACACATTTTCTTCTTTTCGTTGATGGTGACTTACACTCTTTCCTGCTGTCTATCTCTAGAATGTTGAAGACCAGGACAACCGACTTTGTAAGTTGGTGAACCGACTTTGCAAGAGAAGAAAATTTGAAATTGACATTCTTAAAAAATGGATACTATTTTTTTCTCCATTTGTTTCATCCAATGGAGGAGAAAGGAAGGAGATACTAAGAAAGAAGGGAATAGAGTTGTAATTTGGTTTTTACTTTCTTTCAAGTAGGGGTGGGTTGGGGCGGGGTTTTGAATGGGTTAGATATGGATGGGGCAGTAACTCATTGCGGGTTAAAACGAGTCAATCTGTTCCAAACCACCACATCTTTTTAATATAAAGATTATTTGCACAATATAAGTGGGATAAGATGGGTATGGGTACCCACTTTTTATCTATGACCGACTCATTTACTTAAATTTGTCTGTTCAAATAATTTAATTTTAGTGGACAGACTTGGACGGTTTAATGAGTTTAAAGCCCACGAGAAAGTCTTATAGGAAGAGTAATAGTGGTGGAATGGAATTAATTTATGGGATAATGAAGCAGAGTGTGGATTGAGGGAGTTTCCAGGAGCTGCCAGAAATGGTGGATTATATATATATATATATATATATATATATATATACTTATACAACTTGCATAGCACTTGAATTATTACCATTTATAAGTAACTTTCAATAAATCCTATTCTCCAAGAAATCGAAAGATTACATGAAAGGTTTCCTTTAAACATTTTACCCTTAATTTTGTTGAGATCTCGTCAATTGCTTGGATACTTGACGCCCTCTGAAAAAATCAAAAACAAATCTTTCCAAATCCTCAATTGAGTACTTGATGTATTTCTCTGAATCTATTCCATGCAATCTGCGGAACTCATCAAGAAATGACTTGTAAGTTGGAGTCAACTTTTTTAAAATGGACTTGCGAAGCTCCTCCTGGAGATGTGGATCAGGTACCAACCATATCGCTTGGGTCTGATGAGCACCTTCAAACATAACATAAAATTTCTTGAGCTTCGCTTTGTCGTCTCTTTTAAAACTGAATTTCCAATTGCCTGCACGCACTAGTTCCGTAGTGTCCAAAATCTGCATCACCCTGTTCCAAGTTGATATCTCATACTTACTTGCATCCTGCTGAATCTGTCCTCTTAATTTCTCCAAAAGATGTTCTCCCACCATTTCTCTCAATTCCAACGACTCGTTAATTTTCTGAACAATGTAGTGGACATTGTTCATCATGAACACATGAGCCAGAGAAGCATCTGCATAGTGCTTGGACTTGCCTGCCAAATTGTTTCGTAGAGCCACAATGATCCAAGCCAAATGGATGGCCAGAGGAGTTCGACCCTCGTTTTCCATTAATTCTATATCAGACATCATCATCAAGTCTCCTCCATCTTGTTTCAACTCTGGCTTTGATACAATCAATTTAAATAGAGTCAGCTTGTATTTAGAGATCATAAGCGTCATACATTTCATCACATAAATAGTCATGGTGCTGATTGGCTGATCTCCCACAACCGGAATGGTTCTCTCTCCAAGGACTGTATTCTCAAATTCAGAGAGAATCCCTCTTACTGCCTCTTCAAGCTGAGTCAGTGTATCAGAGACCTGAACTCTAATTGAGACCATTGATTCTGACTTGAAAACAACAGAAATATTTGGCCAAAAACCTGACAGTGCATCGTAGAGGTCTAAAATCTTGAACAATTTCTCCATTGATTTGCGCCCAACACTTACAACTCCTGCAAAGTTGAATAAGAGAATCGCATGATCTTTAACCGTTTCAAAAAAACAAGCATCATCTAATCCCGCTTCTTGACCTTCAAAAATCTGCTCACAGAGTTGCTTCTCTCTGGGAAAGAGAACTTGAACACAAGCACTAGCTGCTTGTATCCACTGTTGTATCTCTCTCTCCAATGACTGCCACTCCATCCTTTTGACATCAACAGTGCTCAGTTTGTCGATACCAAGCCGTTGAAAAATCATGTCCATGAATGATTTTCGAGCACTTGCATACACCTGAATGCAATCATCGACATGTCCTGCCGAGAACATCCTATCCGCGATACTCCTGAGAGCATTGATGGATTCCTTACTCGGTGTGTGATCATCTTGTAGTAATTCACAACTAGTGCTTAATGAACTCGAAGAAGTCGAACCACTTGAATGATATTCAGCAAGCGAGTGGGTTTCTATTCGACTCGTCATGCCATCCGTTAACATAGTTTGGAACTCTGCCTTGAGGGCAGAAAGAGAATGGCTTTCAAATACGTACTTACCATCTCTGTGACCATCATTCTCTTGCCTCTGATGAGACATGGATGCCGACAACATGGAGCATAACAGTATAGTATGACTGATTTTAAGATATTAGAACAGAAGAGAGAAACACATATACACACAGCTTACATTACAATTTAAAAAGATTATGCTGAATGGGATTTTGAACTTGATCGAAAATTAATTGATAAAAGAACAAAAGTATTTGATCAGATGTAACGAGGATGATTATTAAAATGGTTTGGTGTTATCAACGCCTTTGGTGGAAATTTATCAGCGAAGTGGACAAATAATGAACGAATAAACCCAAGTGTACTGAAAAAAGTAAAGGAGAAGACAAAAAAAAATTGTCCTCTCATACTTCATTGTAACAGGGGTTTGGGTTTTTATTAGTTACATAAATGTGCATAAAACTATCTTCTTGAGTTCCTTGATTTGCATAAAACTATTTTATTGAGCTCTTTTGATCATTCTATTACGTAAGGATAAAAATAAAAAATAATGAAGAAGCTCACTTTGGTCTTAATTTTCAACTCACTAGCAGCCTATTTAAATTCAACAATTCAAGCACAATCCTCATAATGAATAGCGGGACATCAACTCCTTCAAAATGTATAAATATTGAACTGAACTGAGCTACTGATGATACAAATATACACCACAGCAACAAAACAAACAACATGCTTCTATACAAAAGGATTAAACTATGGGGGTTCAGTCATCCTGACGGCTTTACCTGATCTTTCCATTTCGATGATTTTTCTAATCGACTGACTGGTAGTTCTAAAAATACAGAGTTCCTGAAAGCAACACTGACCGAAACACAGTTCTAGGAAACTGAAAGATTGTGTCTTGGCTTCCAACTCATGGAATTATTCCACATTTCTTCCCTTTCGATTGAGATGTCCTCAATTTCTTGGATACTGGATGACCCTCGAAGAAATCCGAGATTGCATTCTCTAGATCCTCAACCGTGTACTTGATGTATTTATCTGATCTTTTTCCATACATTCCATGCAACCGATCCATAAATGACTTGTAACTCGGAATCAACTTGTTCAATATGGATAGATGAAGCTCCTCCCGCTGCTGCAAATCCAAAACCAACCATTTCGCTTGAGTCTCGTGAGCTCTTTCAAACATGGCATAGAATCTCTTTAGCTTACCTTTCAAACTATTCTCTCCAAAATATAAACACTACCCCGCTTTTAGTGCCTTGCAGTCCAATTGGTACAACACCCTATCCCAGGTTAATGTCACATACTTACTTGCGTCGCGCTGGACTTTTTCTGATAACTTCTACAGAAAATTGTCTCCCGTCATCTCTCGCAATTCTCTGCACCCATTGATTTTCTGAACAATGTAGTAAACATTGTTCATCATGAACAAATGTGCCAGAGAGGCGTCTTTATAACCCTTGGACTTGCCCTCCAAATTGAATTGTAAAACCACAATTATCCAAATAAAATGGAGTGCCAACGGAGTATGCCAATCAAGTTCCACAAATTCCATATTAATCATCATTTCACCAGAATAGCTCAAACCTATTGAGGGCTTCGACACAATCAATTCAGTTAGAGTTTTCCTGTAAGTAGACGCCATAAGGATCATACAATTCATTACATATCTGGCCAAGGAGTGAATTGTCCCCTCAGGCGCAAGAACCTTTAACACCTCATGAAGCACCGCATTCTCAAATTCTGACAGCATCCCTCTTGCTGCTTCAGCAACTTGAATGTGTGTTTCAGCAGCCTGAATACGGATAGACTCCAGTGATTTTGAGTTGAAAACAGCATAGATTTCAGGCGAAAGATCCGACAGTGTAGTGTAGAGGTCTAAAATCCTGAACAACTGCTCAGGACGGGGACTAACACTACTCACAACTTGTGCAAAGTTGAGCAACACCAACAGAATTGCATGCTCTTTAAACATTTCCATAAAACACGTTTCGTCTGCAATACCTTCAAAGATTTGCTCACGGAGTTGCTTCTCCCTTGCAAAGAAAATGTGGAGACAATTAGCTGCTTGCATCCATCGTCTGATTTTAAGCTCCAATTCTTCCCAAAGAATCCTTTTGACACCAGCAATGCTTATATGCTCAATGCCAAACCGTTGAAAACTTTTGTCCATGAAAGACTTCCAAACACTTACATAAACCTGAACGCACACATGAAGATATCCGGCAGAGTTCATCATCTCTGCAATATTCCTGAGATCACGGATGGATTCTTCATTCAGTTGATGATGATAGTCTTGTAACTCACAGACTGTACTCATTGAACTCCAATAAAGAGAACTTGTACCGGGTAACCAATGGGTTCCTATTGAACTCTTGGGGCTGATTAAAACGACATGAAACTCTTCCATTAACCGAGCCATGGCAATACTCATGAAGTTTTTGGCTCTGCTTTGATCTTCAGACATGGAGCTCGATATTGATCGTTGAATCTCATACACTGCTTGCAAGTATTCATCAATTTCTTGGCGGCTGCCTCCAAAGAGGTGTTCCTTTCTTGCCCCTCTTGACTCCCATTGCAGGATGATCTCCCCAGCGGATTTGAATGCCCCATCACCGTTTTCTTGCAGTTTCATTGGAGGCAATGAAGCATCCATGGGAATTTAAGAGCAAGGGGGATTTAAGACAATATTCAGAGACTTTGAAGAAATTGGGAGTCATTAAGAACCAACTATAGAGCCTTAAAGGGTAGTGAACTTGTTAAATTTCATGTATGGAAGGACTTGGGTATGAAATTCCAAATGAAACAACAACCACAAAATAACACTAAAACAGTTTTTTCACAAAACCTTATCGACCGACGCGTTTTGATATTCAATGGTGGGGGAGGGAGAGAGAGACAGACAGACAGAGACAAAACAAAGAATAGTAAGTCAAACATTGGTAACTTGTGGCCTTGTGGAAATTTGTCGCCTAAAGGACAATATTACTCATCAGATTGCTGTGAGTAGCCAGACAACAAGACATACCAAGATTACGAAAGTAGAAGTTTAGCCATCTCGAGCGATTTGGATAGCTATTAAGGCCAAAACGTGTGTTTTTTTTGCTATATCAACGTAAGAATTGCTTAGGAGGCAGGGAAGTATGGTAGTAGCAAAAGGCGGAGCCCACGATTTGGATAGCAATTGAAATCGCCACAGACCACATGCTTGTTATTAACTGCATTTTTTTTTTTAATGAATGGCCTTAAAGGAAAGTGCGAATGTGTAAAAAAACATATAAAAATAATAATAAAATATTAAATAGTGATTAATCATACGGTAAAAAACCAGTAGCAACACACCGTTACTAGCCACGTTAGCCCAAAAACTGACGTGGCTAGCAAGCCACATGTACATTAGTAACCGGTATTGCTAATGCTATACCAAGGAGGGAGAATAACACAGATAGTTAAGATTTAAGTGATGAGCCTAATTCTTTCAAGTTTCATTTTATTGCTTATGCAACATCAGCTACTTTTTTATGCATCTATTGCAAGGCCAGCCCTGGAGCAAGGTGACCAAGGCGGTCACCTAGAACCTCTAATTTGGAAGGGCCTCAAATTTAGGACCATAGTGTAAAGCTATAATTTTTATAATTAAAATAAAATACATACTTATATATCATGTAAATTTATGATAATAAATAATTTTTAAAAAGGATAATGTTTCAGTCCTGCCTATCAAGACAGATTGTGTCCTGCACACTAACGAGTCCCAATAAGAGGCTGACACCTCTTTTAAACTTAAAAATAAAAAAAAAAAACAAAAATGTGTTATACCCATTTTTTAGGGTTAAACTCAACAATTTTTTTTTTTTTTTTTTTTTTTTTTTTTTTTTTTTTTTTTTTCTCCTCTCTTTGCTCCCCATCTATGTATATCACTCGGTCATTCACATTTTTCTTTTCCCTTATCTCCGGTTGCCAATCATTCCAAATCTTAATATTTCCTACTAGACTTTCACTTGTTAGAATAATAAAAATTCTTTTAATTCTGAAATAGTTCTAGGCAGTTTTTTAGAATCATATTAAAAAATAATAAAAAAATAGTTTTAAAATTACTTAACTTTGAATGCATATTCTTTTAATTCTGTTTCTAGAGAACAACTAATGGAAAATTGTTTTTCCTACCTTTTTCTGTTATTTTTAATTTTCTTAAGATAGAAAACTATCTTTAAAAAAAATGAATTAACCATTTCTATTTCTCCCTTTTTAAAATCTACCTCAACTGTTTTTTATGTATGCTATATATGAAAAATTACACGGCTGGATAAATATAATGTTTTAACATACTTGTTGATAGGCGTGTATTTATGGACTTATCATTGTCAAATACACTCCATATCAAGATAAAATATCTACAACCATTTAATTAAAAATGTCTAATGGCAACTAGGATCGAACCATGTATTCAAGTGAGTTTTTATTTTTGGACAAGAGATTTTTAAAACATTGATTTTGGAGTTTGTCACTAACTAGAAATGAATATTGAACAACAAATATTTAAAGCAATATTATAATGAGAAATTTCAAATATATAAATTGAGAGCAAGAAACTGATGAGTAATAAAACAATAATGCATTGAGAAGAAAATTACAACTAGAAACAACAAGGAAAACTCTAAGAATCTATTATATCATTCTATCTATATCCCCTTTTGAATGCTCCGGAGTCGGCTATTTATAGCCAAAATTGTGTATCCCCACTTGTTGCCTTTTGATCAATACTTCTGACTTCTTTCTTCCTTCACGCCACCTCGCTACACCTTACTCTGACCTCTTCTATATTAACCATTTCTTCATCTTTTCTTCCTAACTTCTGACCACTTCTATTTCAACCACTTCTTCACCTTTGTTAACTTTTCTTTTCTTTTCTTCTCTTCTTTTTTTCTTTCTCTCTCCTCCTTTCTCTTCTTCACGTGCACACACTTTTGTTGACTTTTCTTTTCTTTTCTTCTTTCTCTCTCCTCTTTTCTCTTCTTCATTTTTATTTTTACTTTCTTTTTTTCTTTTTCATACATTAACACTTATAAAAATGTTTAAATAATATAAAAGTCTAATTAAAAGCTTATTTTAGTGCATAAAATATTAAGTTTTGTGTACTTATCAAACTACTCCCAAACAAGCTTTTGCTAGTCCTCTAGCAAAGAAAGGCAAAAATAGATAAGTTCACAAAAAATATTACTTTTATTAACAAAAAGATGTGCCACTTTCGTAGACTACTTTCGATTGCATTTACCATATGCAATAAGGCCTTAAACAACTAGGTTACCCCTAGTGGACGAGTTATAGCCTCATGAGGGTTTCCAGTGAAGATTGTTAGAGTGTTTCTCAAGTTCATCATAATGTTTTATTTGAGGTGGAGAAATCTTCAGTTGAGGTGGAGCTATAAAGAGCTTGAGGTGGAGGTATGAAAAGATCCTTATTCGAGGTGGAACTATGGAGAAGCACGTGAAGATAGAATTTTGAGCCAAGGTGGAGATTATTGGGTTTGTGGCTCAAAATTTGTGTGCAGAAAATTAGTTTCCTTTTTCGTTTTGGAAGGTTGAAATTTGTAGAAGAAATTATATCCCATTATACCAACTATTTAGAGTTGAAGATGGATATGGTAACTCTTTATACGTAAGTTGATCCTTGTCCAACAAGGAATTGAATTTGAGGAATACTTGTCCAACAAGGAATTGGGTTTTGAAGACTCTATAAATAGAGATAGGTATGAGAGGTTTAGAGAAAGAGGGATGAGAGAAAATATATAAGGGGTTTAAGGGTGAGTGTTGTGAAGAGAGGGAAGAGTATATGTAATTCCCGAGTATATACATGTAGCCTCAAAGGAGATGATGAGTGAATGAGTGGGGTTTTGACATGTGGTTGTATATTCTCTTTCTTGATTCATAATAGTGAAATTTCTCTTTCCCATGGATGTAACCCTAGAGTTGGGTGAACCATGTAAAATATTGTGTTGTGCGTTAATGTGTATGATTGTTATCTCCATATATGCTTATGTTAATGTGATGTGATGATGTTTCCGCTGTGTGTGATGAAAGAGTGATTTAACTCTCAACAACAACCGACCGTTGAGTGGGTTGGAGGTAGTTAATTATCCCCAACAACTGGTATCAGAGCCAATGGTGGGTCAGAGCCTATGATTGATCTTGAAGATCAGTAAAAGAAGATTGCTATGAAGTTTGTCAGAGCAAAAGATGATCGTAAAGTACTATAGAAATTCAATCAGAGTTGATGATGACACAAAGGTATGAAGAAGGTGATGGTGTGAATCCCATGAGGAACAAGTCTTGGAACAAGCTAGAGGATGCTCATTTTTCAAGATGGGGCAAAGGTGATAGAGATGAAGCCCATGAGGAACAAGTTTTGGGGATAAGCCAAGAGTGGGTGCTAGTTCTCAAGATGGGGCAAGGGGTGTGAAGAATGAAGGGGTTTGCTCTAAGCCCGATAAAGAGCAAAAGGGAATATGAAGAGTGAAGAGGAGAGGTTTGTTGCTTTGAGCCAGAAAAGCAATTTATGAGGATGAGTTAAAGATTGGTGGGTTGCCATGCGTGAGCAATTGAACACCAATGAGGTGGATAGAGAAAATAGAAGAAAAAATAAAGAATGATGAATTTGAGAAAAAGTGGAGATTGTTAGAGTGTTTCTCAAGTTCATCATAATGCTTTATTTAAGGTGGAAAAATCTTCAGTTGAGGTGGAGCTATGAAGAGCTTGAGGTGGAGGTATGAAGAGATCCTTATTCAAGATTGAGTGTATTTAAATTTATTTAAACCCAAACCTAATCCCTATTTAATGTTCATGAATCCTAGGCATGTTTCTACGTTACATCAATTGAACTCTAGTTTAATCACTTCACCAAAAATCTTTTTCTCTCTCTCTATTTCTCTCTCTCTCTCTTTCACAATCTAATTAACTTTAAAACTAAGTTTAATCCCAACATGTGTTCAATCCCTTGGGACGATCCCTACTCGCTTCATACTCCATAGTATAAGTGTCTAGCGGTTTAGAAATTATAAAATATGATACCCACTTGACATTAATTCTAAACCTAAAGTGTTGTGCATTATTTTGTGCACACACTCGGGTCGCATCATAATTTTGGCGCCGTTGCCGGGGATTGACGGTTTAGTTGGAATTGAATTAGGCATTAGGGTTAATTTGATTGTTTTCTTTAAATTACTATTTTCTTACAAATCCCTCTTGTTCAATTAGGTACTTGAAAAGAAGAGGAGCAAGCATTGGATCTTGGCACGATTGTGACGTTGTTGTTACGGACTTTCGTGAGCTTCCTTGAATTTCTTTAACTATAATTGTTCAATTCTCTACATGCTTGCGAGATAGCCCTTGTCGAGGCTATCACATTGTTTAAATTCTTGTCCAAGCATAAGCCCAAAATGAGGCTATTGCTTTCTTGGTTGAAAGCATCGGCCCGTGTGGAGGCAATTTAATTTTGTGCATTGATATAACATGGGAGTATGGGAACATCGTATGTGGAAGTGGTGAATTGTTGTTGATTGTTGTTGTGGTTTGTTGTTTCTAAGAGAATTCTTCCCATTCTTGACTATCCCACACTTAATGGAAAATCAATTCTAAGATCTAGGGCATATGGATAATCTAGGTGAGTATCACCCTCTTAATGGGCATCCACCTCAAGGTGTGCATCCACCCTTGAGAATTCCACATCCTAATATGTTTCCACAACCCAATCAAATGCAACAACCTCCAATAATACAAATTCATCCTCAAGATCATATAGTGTATCCCCCAAATCCTCAATTATCTCTTCGGGATCACTACACTCCAAATGAATACAATGCACCAACATGCATCCGGTTGCCAAACTTTCGGGCAACTTATTATGAAATCAAGCCCGCAACCATCCAAATGTGCCCCATTTTCTCTGGGGTGAGCAATGAAGAACCACATAAACATTTGGATGAGTTTTTGGAAGTTTGTTCAACCGTGAAAATCACGGACCTTCCGGAAGAAGTCTTAAAAATGAAGCTTTTCCCTTTCATTTTTCGGGAAAAGGCTAAATATTGGTTCAATAACTTGAGGGCAAATTCAATCACATCTTGGGCTCAACTACAATATGAATCCTAAAAAAATTTTACCCCGCAAGTAGAACCGATGCTATGAGAGCTTCTATCTGTGAATTCTCCCAAAATGAGAGAGAACCTTTACATGAAGCATGGGAGCGTTTGAACGATTTGCTACGGAAGTGTCCACATCACGACATTCCAAAGTGGCAGTTAGTTTGCTGCTTCTATGAAAGTTTATCCGATACCCAAAAAGGTATGGTTGATGCTTCATGTGGAGGAGCTTATTTGGACAAAAATGAAGACGATGTGTGGCATCTTTTTGATCGCATGAGCGAAAATTCAATGCATCATTCTTCATCGTCCCGATTTGGCCAAAATTTGAATGAAGGAGGGCAGATAACCTCCAATCTTTCTCAAATAAATACTTCCATGGAAATTGCCGCTGAGGTCAAAATTCTTACTCAAAGGTTTGATAAATTCCTTTCGAGCCAAAACCCGGCAATTCAAACATCCAACTCTTTCCATTCTCAAAGTATGACGTGCATGACTTGCTCTAGTTGTACTCATAATACTTCCAATTGTATTATTGGACAAAGTTTTCCAAGTGAGTATCAAGAACAAGTCAATGCTGTTTCCATTCATCCGGGAAGTAATCCAAATTCTAACTCCTACAATTCCGGATGGAGTGATCCTAACTTTTCTTGGAGAAATCAAGGAGGAGGTATCATTCTTTTTCTTCATAAAAATTCTCAAGAAAAGTATGTGCCTCCCCACCTTTGAAATGCAAACTCTCAAGCATACCTCTCTCCATCTTATCTTCCTCCAAATGTGAATCAACTCTCAAATTCTCAATCTTCAAATCATCAAGCTTATTTTCATCTACCTCAAGAGCCTCCTAGAAATCCCACTTTTGAAGACAAGGTTTTAGAAGCTTTGGGTGATCTTCGAAAGGAAAATCAAGTGTTTCATTCACATTCTCAATCAATTGCAAAACTTGAAGCCCAAATTGGGCAAATGGTTCAAACAATGAAAGGGAGGGCCTATTCAACCCAAACTTAACCAAACGGCATACTCCATTTCCACTTTGAGAAGTGGGAGAAAAATTGATAACAAAGTTGAGAGACCTAGTGAAGTTAGTGTTCCGGTGCAACCAAGTGTTAACTCATTTACCATTCCCAATTATATCCCTACTTCACTAGAGGCAAGTGGTCACATTATGGAGCCAATTCCATCATCATCATCTTCCTCCCATGTAGAGAAGCCTTATGAGCCAAAAGCTCCATTTCCTTAAGCTTTAAACTCTACTCCATTTTCGAGGCAAGAAGGAAAAATCCATGACATGATGGAAGTTTTTAAACAAGTTAAAATCAACCTTCCTCTTCTTGATGCTATTCGACAAATTCCACCATATGCCAAGTTCTTGAAGGACTTGTGTACTCAAAAGAAAAAGAACAAAGGACCAAGCCCAAAGAAAGTGCTTCTCATGGAGCAAGTAAGCTCTATCCTTAAGCTTAACACCCCACCTAAGTTCAAAGACCCCGGTACGCTAACCATCTCTTGCACCATAGGGAACCATGAGGTCAAAAGGGTTCTTCTTGACTTAGGAGCTAGTGTTAATGTTATTCCTTACTCCGTGTATCTTCAATTAGGTTTAGGAAACCTTAAGCCAACTTCGGTAGTTATTCAACTCGCCGATAGGTCTACAAAACAACCAAGGGGAATTGTTGAGGACATCCTCATCAAAGTCGACAAATTCTATTTCCCGGTTGATTTTGTTGTGCTTGACACTGAGCCGGTTCCCAATCCTACCACTTACATTCCCATCATCTTAGGAAGACCATTCATTGCCACTGCTAATGCGACAATCAATTATAGGTCCGACATTATGGACATCTCTTTTTGCAATATCATGGTTAAGCTTAATGTGTTTAACACGAGCCAACATCCCATCGATGAAGGCGAGTGTTTCATGGTGAATGTCTTGGATGATATTGTTGAAGAAGCCATTCCTTCAAATCTTTCCATTCGTTCTGAAGATCCTCTTGAGGCATGCATATCTCACTTCAATATGGATGCATTTGACATTGAAAGCTCCATATATGAAGTGAATTCTTTAATGGACTCCGTAGCCATCTTAAACTTCTCGCCATGGAAAAACTCAAAAGAACCTCTTCCTCCAATCACATGTATTCTTTCTTATCAAAAAGAGGAAGAAGTTGTAAGTTCACCAATGGCCAATCCAATTTATAAGGACATTCCTTGTAATATTGAGCATGAAGTCATTGAGGCGACCTTAGTGAAGGAGGAAAAAGTGATCAATGTGGAAGTTGACAAAAAGGATGAAGAGATTGAGTTTCCTAATAATCCAACCGAGTCTTTGAAAGACATTACATTGCCAAGTGCAAGGCCGATCATGATGGACTTTATCTTCAAGACCGTGGATGAAAGGGAACAAATTGCATCTTCCATCATTTCTTTCCAAATCATTCTTTTAGGAGATGTATTCATTGTTGTGAGAGAACATCCATTGGGGAAAATAGATAAATAGATCAATGAGGATGTCTTATATCCGGTTTTTGATTCTTTCGACTAGTGAGTCGCCCCAACGTCTTTCTAGTGACGTTAAATACTAGTTTTTCGTAGAGTTTCCCGACTTTACTTCTCCCTCATTTCTCTTTATTTTATTTCTTACATCTTCGTCTAAATAAAATTTTATTTTATTTTCTTCTTTTACTTTATTTTATTTTTTGTACAATTCTGCTTTCGAAAATTCAAAATAAAAAAAAAAAATTTGTAAATGGGTAATGTAGGTTGGTGTTTGATTTTATTTCTATTTTATTATTATTATTATTATTATTATTTTTATATATATTTCATGTTAGTTTTGCTTTATTCAAAAACATAAAAAAAATTAAATTTTTTTTTTAAAAAAGTACTAGTTAGTATAGATTGATAAGTAATTTTATTTTAATTTATTATTATTATTATTATTTTTATTCATTTTAGTGTATATATTCTTTTTAGTTTAGTTTATTTTTTTTTTAAAAAACAAAAAATTACAAAAAAAAAAAAAAAGATCGATCCCAAAATAGGGGGAGATCAATCCCATTTTCTTGGCAGAGAGCAACAAAAAAATAGCCCAAGTGGATTGATCCCCGTCTAGGTGGATCGATCCCATTTTACTTGTATTTTTCCCTTCTCATTAAACAGTGAAGGGGACATTTTTTTTTGCCTAAAATTGTCGATCCCCTGTCAAAGCAGATCGATCGCCCCTTAGCACCACGAATACATTCCTCTTCTCTGTTTCTTCAAATTTCTATTCCTCCCCGTAAATTTCTTCACCCAATTTTCTTCCTGGCGTTCGAGTGGAACACGAACCGAAATCTCCCGCTGTTATCTTGTTCTCTTCAACTTCGTCGCATCTGTTCGCTGTTCTTTGTCGAATATGGGTCGTTCTTCGGCGATCAAGGCTGTTTTAGCCTTTATTTTTTCGGTGTTGCGATCTCGGCTAGGACGCTGTTCTTTTCTGATCGCGTCTGTTCTGTTCTTCTTTGGTCGCACCATCTGATCGTCTTTCCGGCGATCAAATCTGTTCGTATTCCGGCGTTGGATATGGGTCACGGCTGCTTCATATTCCGGCGATTTTGACTGGGCTTGTGCAGCGATTCGCGGCTGGTTCTTCTCACATCGCAACTGGATTGCGGGTCTTTCCGGCCAGAATGCGAAACGTCGTTCTCCAGCGATTTTGGCTGGATTTCGACTGGTTCTGTTTCAGATCTCGGTTGGGTGCGATTGGGGAAGTTGGGTTGCCGATTTGGTAGGTTGTAGGTCTGAAAAAAAAATTTCGGCGCCGTTTGCTTCGCCTTTTATTTTCCAGCGCCGGCTGGGTTCTCTGTCGTGGCAGCTCTTTCCGGCGATTCCGGCTGGGCTTAAATTCCGGCGCTGTTTGAGACTCGCCCTTTATTTTTCCGGCGTTGCAACTGGCTGTTCCCTCCAGCGATTTTGGCTGGATTTTGATTTGGTTTCTTCAACGATTCTGGCGGCTTTTGACTAGGTTTCTCCGACGAGTATGTGGGTAAGTGTTGATTTTGTGATTTTGTGATTTTGTGATTCTGGCAAGTTTGTGAGTTGTTAATTGGGTTCCAGATTCCACTGTTTTAAAAGAATTTGCATTGATGTTTTAAAAAAAAAAATTTTTTGAATTAATATTACAAAAAAAAAAAGATAAATAAATAAAAAATAAAATAAAATTACATTGATGACTTAAAAAAAAAAAAAAAAACAGTTGAATTGTTGTTAAAAAAAAAAAAAGTGCATAAAAATTTGAATTGATGATTTAAAAAAAAATTGTCATTGAAGTAGGGTTACTGATTTTGGACTACTTTCCATATATTTCAATCTTTAAGAAATGACTCGTGTTTCTTCTTCCAAACTTTTCAAACCCTCCAAAGAGACTCCCAAAGTTGTGTGGCGCAACAAACGTCTGGATTTTGAGACTACCTTCGACATTGAAGGTACGTTTTGCCACAATAACACGACTGAATGGGCGGTGTTAGAATTTGAAAGGAGGCGTTTGTCCTGCCTTTTTAGACCAGCTGCAGAGGTTGTCTATCCCCGTATTGTGCGCCTGTTTTATCAGAATATGGAATGGTTTAGTGATGCACCGGACATATTAGTTACAACCATTGATGGTGTCCGAATTCACTTTGGTGTCTTGGACATAGCCCAGGCATTGGGGTGTCCACATTTGTGCCCCACTGACTTGCTAGCACAGTATGGGGAGCTACGTTTTGGCAAATTCGTGAAAAAACCTACTGTGCATTCTATTGTTAAAGATATGTGTGACGGGAAGTATGGTGACAAGAAGAAGAAGAATTGTGCCAGCAAGTCCTCACTACCTAAGGATATGTGGTTTTTCGATCAGGTTCTGAAACGGAATGTTTTTCCAATAGGTCATAAGGTACAGCGGGGACAAGAGTTCTTAATAGCGTTGTATGCTACCCACACTGGAACATGGTTTTCTGTTCCAGCTTTCGTCTTTAACCAGATGTATAAATATTGGAAGCATTTAGTGGCAAGTGGGGATCCGAATGCGAAAAAATGGAAACTTCCGTTTCCGTATCTTATTACCCAGCTCCTTGTCCTTCGGCGCTTCATGGTTGATAATGATGAGATCTCTGAGGCTCCACGGGTGACTTTTAGGCTAGCATAGTCGAACTTAAGCCTTTCTCATATGCCTAGTGCCAAGAAGGAAGGTGATGGCATGGTAGCAGGTGCTAGTGAGGACGTGAATGCTCTGGTTGAGGACGTCGTTGGGAGGTCTGAGGAGCAGATTGCTGATGGTGCTACTTATGAGATAGCACAGGCTGTGTCACCACATGCAGAGGAGTTTGCAAGGGTGACTAGGGCAGAGTTCAATGCCATTGTGGGGCAGTTGAGGACCGAGTTGGCTGAATCTCGAGAGCAGCATCGAGTCGAGCATGCTGAGCTTATACAGCAGCACACCACTACCCAGTGCATGCTACGAGATCTATATGAGATTGTTTCATCGAGTCTCCCACGCACTTCCACATTGCCACCTGATGCATGATTTCTTTTGTCTTTTTCTATTTTAGGTGGATGGAATTTTATGTGGCTATAGCTAGATTTTTGTGATTTAGAGCTGGCTATTTTGGGAACTTGTAATTCTGGGATTTGATGATATACTTTGGTTTAATTCATCCATATATGTTTTGTATTGATGTTTTTGCTATAGATATATACATGGATGATTGTTTTTGGCTTTGTTATTCATATTCATTTTAAAAAAAAAAAAAAAACAATAATAAATAAATAAAATAAAAAAAAACATAAAAAAATAAAAATTGCAAAGTATCATTCCGTCTTGCTAGAGACGTTAAACTTAGCCCATTTTTCTTATTTTTGTTTATTTATTTTATTTTGTTGGTTGTATATACATGTTCTTTTCCTTTGTTTCTTTAAAAAAAAAAAAAAAAAAATGTGTTACCAGTATGCCCTTATGCTTGGTTATGACTGTTTTTATCTTTTATCAAGGTCATTCATCTCATTATTTCTTTGCCTCTTATTATATATTGTTTTGAACTGTATGCATTGCTTATTTCATATGTATTTGATGTGAGTTTGCTAGTATGGTTATACAGCTAGGTTTTTGCATCCAAGTTTAGGGGAGACATCTTTCCTACTGGATCATTGCCGGACTTCATAGTCTTTGCCATTACGGTATACTCTTTCCATCATTTTTCATTGTTCTCATTGCACATTGAGGACAATGTACAGTTTAAGTTTGGGGGTAAGGTCATCATGATTCATTCTAGTTAAGTTAAGCTTTAAATGCATGATGAGATTTTAGATGTGTTTGGCAATGATTTCGAACTTTTGAAACATAATGCCATTGGAAAGTAAGTTGTTAGAGTCTAATACTTCTTGTATGCTCTAGGATGCCATTTAGGGGAACATTTTAATTTTTGACATCATGTTTGCTTTTGTGGTACACATCATCTTATTGGTTGAAAATGCTTTAAAAGTTGATTCTAGAATTCTACACTTGCACTTGCGCACACTAGCATTCAATTTGTGGGGTACATGCTTAGTTGATTATTGTCTTGGTTTATCCTAATTGAGCTAGTAGCTTTGAAAGCTTTCATTCTTGATAAAATGACCTTACAAAGAAAAGAAATAAAAGCACTCACCAAAAGTGAGGAAAAAAAAAAAAAAAAAAAACTGCATTCTTTCAACATGTCAACTGATTAAAAAGGAAGACAATGGAAGAATGTAAGATGTATGATTAGTTTGAGTTCGTAGCCTAACCATTCCGAGTCATTACGCCCTTAGGAGTGTCTTTACACTTAACGCCCTAAGACCATCTGGTTTAGGAGTCGTTGGCTCAACGCTTGTTACATGGGGTAATTAGAGAGCTTAAGGAACTTGGACATTGCACATGGTCATACATAAAAAAAAAAAAAGAAAAGAAAATGAAATCAATAAAAAAAAAAGAATGTTTGATTGAATAACAAGGTTCATTCAATGTCTTGAGGATTGGTACTATATCTGTATGCTAGTTTGAAGGTAAGGCTACGCCATTACTTTGATTTGCTAGGATAGCAACACATTTTGATGCTGGTTCACTCAAAAAGAATGATAGAATTGATTCAATTTGCATGATTAATTGCTGATGTGTGGAGGACCATTCTTGCTTACATGATGTTGAAATGTTGAGAATAGCTTGAAAATGGCAGAATTTGCATATTTGAGGTAGTCTACTTTCAACACTTGTTTAGTATGTGTCATTACTTCTCAAGTAAGAAAGAGCTTTTGATGTTTGTGGGTACCATTTCTAGAAACCCTCACGAAACTTCACTCGTCCACTAGGGGTAACCTAGGGGTTTAAAAGGCTTGTTGCATATGCCAAATGCAACCGTGATCCCTACGAAAGTGGTGTTATCTTTATTTGCTTTATTAGTTCATAGTTGTATATATGTTTGTTTTATTTCCATGTTTTAGTTTATTGCTAGGGACTAGCAATATTTAACTTTGGGGATGTGATAAGTGCTTAAATGTTGCACATTTCAGCACATAAGCTAGGGTATTTCAGTCATTGCATCTATCTTAATTTCATGTTTTAGTCCTAATTTATATTTATGTGTATTTCAGGGCAATAAAGTTAAAATGAGCTAAGAACGGTCCATTAAAGCTTTTTTGGAGTCAAGCAAAGATATTCAGAAAAAGTTCAGAAAATGGCAAAAAGGAGGTCGCAGCCCATTGCTCATATAGTGTGTTTATTCTTCAAAAGCGGTCAATCTCAGGCCTTTGATGATGTTCCCAAAGATGAAAAAGCAAACTAATGAGCTCGGAGCCAAAATGGAGCTAAATAAGGATTAAAGGAAATTTCCAACTCTGGGGGGATCGATCCCCCAGGGTGGGGGATCGATCCCCCAGGACTTGGCAACATTACAGATTTTTCTTATTGTTTGGGCTTATTTTGTGAACTATTGGGCTTTAATAGGGTTATTACTTAAGGCCCAGTGAGTCATTAGTTTAGGGTTAGTTTTTATTTTATTTAGGAGAGAGTTTTATTATTTTATTATTAAGTTTTATTTTATTTTTCTGTACGGGGATATCACGTTCTCTCTGGGGGAAAAAGGAAAAGCTAGGGTTTGAAGGACATTTTTACAGAGGCTTTGTCTACAATTGAAGGAATAAAAAGAAGGAGCCAAAAGATAGGGATGGAGCTTGTTAACACCATGATCATCTTCTCCATGAGCTAGTTCTTCACTTAGGGCTTGGATGAGCCCTAAGTTCATGTAACCTAAACCTTTGTTTTTCTTTTCTTGGGGAATTATTAAGTTGTAATTAAATATTTGGCCTTGTGATTTATTTATATATACATGCTTGATTTGACAAATTAGGGCTTGTATTGATTAATTCTTCCATTGAAATTTCCAAGTTGATTGTATGTCTATCTATGATTAATTAGTGATTTTATTCTTCATTAGATGTTTGAAAATTAATTCTTCCATTGATTCTATATGAAAATTGCATGTCTATGTGTGATTGATTTAGAATTATACTCTACACTAGATACTTCTTTTAGTTGTGTTTAGTGATGGCCAGAGCATGAGACTTAGTTGATACAATTGTAAATTAATTTGATGGATAAAGGCTTAATCTTGATGGGTTGTTCTACAAATTAGCTTATTGTCATTAGGTAATTGTAGTAAAGTAGGCAATTTGTGCTTGATTATGTTAATCCATACTTCTAATTACGATTAGTATTATCCTCTTGATTGATGTGTGCTTTTATCGGATACATTTGTGAATGTGTATGGTGGGTTATGACGTAGTCTTGAATGGGTTCTACACTTTAGTTTAATTGTCATTAGGTAAACAATTCATTCTTGATGTTGATAATCTATGCTTACAATTGTGATTTGTGATGATAATGTGACCACATCTATAATTACACTAATGAATTCCCCATTAATTGAAAGCATATGGTTAATTGCATGAGCTTAGTGGTGAATCCTAACCCTAAGACTCTCTTTATATCTCTTTAATTCTTAGTTTAATTTAATTTAATTTACTTGCATTGTCATTTCTATTTCTATGCTTTCAATTGAACTCTAGTTTAATCACTTCACCAAAAATCTTTTTCTGTCTCTCTATCTCTCTCTCTCTCTTTCACAATCTAATTAACTTTAAAACCAAGTTTAATCCCAACACGTGTTCAATCCCTTGGGACAATCCCTACTCGCTTCATACTCCATAGTATAAGTGTCTAGCGGTTTATAAATTATAAAATATGATGCCCACTTGACATTAATTCTAAATCTAAAGTGTTGTGCATTATTTTGTGCACACACTCGGGTCGCATCAAGAGTGTTATAATTTATTTTCTAAGTGGTTTTATTTGCTTTTGTATGAATATATAAGTTGTAAACATGTTTTTGTGTTAATTTGAGAAATTAATGATGTATCATAGTTTACTTATAACTCATTTTAGACTTAGTATATGGCATGGTCATGACTTGATCTTTGTTATATAATTATTTGGAACCATTTAAATGAGTTTTCAAATCTAAAAATTAAATGGATTTAATTTGATTTAAATTCTAGTTAATTGTGTTTTGCTTGTATTCCATTTTAGACTTGAGATATGGTATGGCCATGACTTGTTGCTTGCTATATATTAAATTGGGATCATTTGAATAACTTTTGAAAGTTAGAGATTTAATTAATTTAAATTAATTAAATTCTATATGATGATGTCTTACTTATTTTGCTCTTTTGATTTGATATATGTAATGAACATGCTATATTATTGAATATATAATAATACGAGGTTATTCGAAATTGATTTAAAATTTAGAGAATTTAATTATTTTGTTTAATTAAATTATATCTAATGGCTCCATGGATCTAAGCGTGTTTTAGAAGTTGTTTCTATATTCAAATCATGGACTTAGACTTGTTGTATATTCACTTGGTTATGTTTGGAGTATAGGATAACATTGTTGTTATATTTATATTCATGAGAGCATGTTTTCTTTATGGATTATATTGTTGTCTTGTGTAGCGAGTTGCACATTTTGTATTCGACATCTTTTCATGCCATAGTAGTCGTGGACTTAGAGCATGTATTGTATGTGTTTCCAAATTCGGTTATGCATAGTAGATAGTTGATTATCTTATATATACATGTTAATTTATATACGTTGTTACATAACTTGTTGATTTTGGAAACTTGGGGATGTCGTTGTTTGACTATGGCTACGGCTTGGTTCTAGTACGGGGGATTGTCCCTCTATAGTCTAGTGCGCACATAGGGAGGTTACCCATGGCTAGTAACCCTAAAGTAACCATGGTGTCGGCTTGATCCGGCGTGACGTCCAAGTATCCACCTTATTTGATTTCGCATTTCATTTCAAGTTGATAACTATATGATGTTGTAACTTGTTGTTCCTTATTTGATTTCCCATTTTAAGTTACAAGATGTTAACTTTGAGAATTTGTGCTTAATGTGTTGTGTTAGAAGTTCCAATGTTGGTTAACTTGCATCGATATGATGAATTGTGTTTTAAATGTTCAAATGTAGTTTAGGAATGGACCTATAGATTCATTTGGAACATCGACGTTAGGTGGCATGACCCACTTTGTTGTTTTCGTATTTTAGATTTCAAGTGGCTGGCTTTGAGAATCTTTACCTTGTTGCTTTGTATATCATACTTCTATATTGTTTAAATTGCATGAGGGATGTGGATTATGTTAGAAATGATCTAAGGTAGCTTAGGATGCTCCCTGAGTCTCACCTTTGACATAGACGTTAGGTGGCATGATCCTTTTGAATTGTTTCAAGTTAATGTAAAAATCTTTAAAGAAATCGAGTCTATGCATGCTCATTTTCTACGAGTAAACTTGTTTACTCACCCCGAAGTTACTGGGGGTTTTGTTCAGGTACGAAGACTTGGTTCGTGATGCTCACCATTCCGTGGATGACTAGTAGTTTATAAGTTTCTATTTCATGCAAATGTTAGCATGAAATGCCTCTTGTAGCTTTTTATGTCAAATTTGTATATTTGATTTCATGTATGTAATGTGTACATAAGTACACCTTTTGTATTGTATTTGACATGTATAAGATGAGGCTGGTGACCAATGACGTGTATTTTGTATTCAATGTAAATTTTGATTTCATGAAATATTATGAAAATATTGAAAAATCACAAGTTATTGTTTCACCATGGGTGCATCGGGTATGGGAATTCCATTTTCATTCTTTCATAGGATCTTATTAATCATGTATGAAGTGTGTCCAAGGGCCAAACGATCATTTGAAGTCATTTTTTGATCTTGGTTTTCAAAGTTTCTATTTTAAGTTCATTTTCGCCTTTTTGACCGTTGGGGGGTTGGATTTGGACTCGGCCATTTCTGGGAGCCATAGACCATTCCCGCGTGCTCAAAATCACAATTTAGGTTTGCGTGCATGATTGTTTTCATGAAAAATCCTTTCATTTGTGTTTTGAGCCTCCTATGGACTCATTTCACCTTTTTGTTAAAAAACTCGATTTAAGGGCATTTTAGGGATTTCCTTTGGGAAATAAATTCCGTTCTTGACTCTATCACATAAAAAAATGTGATTTTAGGGGGAGTTTCTTCACGACATTTTTCCAAAAATGTCATATTGGCCTCGAAAACTGTGCTCCAATCTAATTTTTCTGCTTTTTATGCAATTTTACTGTTTAAGTTCAACTCTGGTCAAGTTGAACCAGTTCAAGAAGGTTGAACCGGTTCAAGATGTCATTGTGGTCCAGCATGGGCGTACTGCCCATGTTGAACCAGTTCAAGTCATGCAGAACTGTTTTGCAGGTTTAGCTTTGGTCTTCCAACTTTGAACTGATGTAACTTCTTTGTTCTAACTCCGAATTGGTCCGTTCTTGAGTCTAAATTAACCGCGTCGAAGTAAGCTTTCTAATGGTATAAATTTCAGATTTAGATTCTTCTCCTAGCTCAAGATATACTTGTTTTAGTGAGGGGGTATCAGTTTCGATTCGAACCGGGATAGGGTTCATTTGGGATTTCTTTTCCTTTGGCCTTGGGACTTCATGTGAAATTACCAAAGGATGTTTTTTTTTTATTTTTTATTTTTTATTTTTTATTTTTATTTATTTATTTATCTCATTTGACTTTTTGGAAGTCAAATTCCTTCCTTTTAGGGTAAAATGACCATTTTACCCTTGATCCTTCTTTCGGTAGGGTTTTGATACCCTTATCTTCATTTTACTTCCTTTGAGCCTCGAAACTCCTTAAAAGTTCATTCTTGTGTCTTAGGGATGATGTATATCTCTAAGGGCTTGGTTTTGTTTTGCTTCCGCATTTTGGATCCGCTTCGGGCCATCACAGGATACACTGGGTTGAAAAATCCAGGGTCGTCACATTAATTGCATCCAAAAGTGGAAGATTAACCTTCACTTACCTAAACACATCTATGATTTCATTTGTTTTGGCCTTTTGTTTGTCAATGGAAATGGATCCTTTTAAGGTATCCGGAAATTGAGCTTTTAGCTCAAAATCTTTTTCAAAAGTTTTCTTTGAAGTTTCTTCAACACAAGAATTTTTGAATTCATTTTTCAAATCAATTTTGAACTCACTTTTCAAATCACTTTCTAACACTTCCTCATTTGAATGATCATGCATATGCAATGAAGGAGGAATAGGATGTAAAACGGGACGGGTGTCAACTCTTGGTTGCACCGGTTCACTCTCTTCATTGGACATACCTAGTTGGTTGTCCACAATCTTCTTACTTCTCAAGGTTGTCACTGCATTAACATGCTCAATTGTGTGACCTTCCGATGAAGAATGAGTCTCCACAATGCATTGTTGCTTTGGTGGGGCATTCAAAGGCATTTTCCCTTTCTCTCTAACATTTAAAGTACTAGCTATTTGCCATACTTGGGTTTCTAGCTTAGCAATGGATTGAGAATGAGAGTGAAGTAATTGAGTGTTTGCCTCTAAAGTGCCTAAAACAGTTAAAACTTTTTCCTCAAAAGTGGGACATTTAGAATTTCCTTGAGAATATGATTGATTTTTTTTTTTTTTTTTCCTGAATGGGATTTTTTATAATATTTCAAAAAGTACAATTACAGTAGGAGTAAAAAAACTCCAATACAAAGAAGGTAATGGACAAACCCATATACCACCAAATTAACTTATCCTTAGATAATCAAAACCATAAATCAAAAAAAAAAAAAAAAAAAAAAAAAAACTAAAACAAATAAGCAACACATAGATAACCATTGTGCCCTGTTCCACATGCTGCTTCTAACCATGAAACCCAAAAGACAACCCACCATCTATCAGCAGAAATAACCAAGTGCAAGAAGACATCTGGCATCACAACACAAA